ACAACCACACAGGCACACAACCACACAGGCACACAACCACACAGGCACACAACCACACAGGCACACAGGCACACAACACGCACAACACACACAGCGCATAATCTTGTACACTCATACTACCTCTGACGGTATTCTACTGTCTAAATTTGCCTCCTGCTCTTGGAGATGAAGCAGGTGACCAGTGCGAGAGAACTCTATGCAGACATGCCCACTGAGTTCACGGCATGATTTGCGGGATATGGTTCAGCCTTACACTGGAACCAACACCCACACAGTGCTTTCTAGTCAGAATTGTCCTTCCTTAAATTTCCCAGCGTACGTTATTCATCCTTGGACTATCCCAAAATAATGTCCTCCCAGTTCTCCAACCTTGAGAACGGCGGAGTGGTTAACTCGATGGGATTTTCCTCTCTCTTCTAAGCTAAAGTAGCCGTTGTGGACGATATGCACTCCTCTGAAAGATCATTTCATTATGGCACAGTCTCAACGTCGACCATAGCCAAAAACAGGTTGAGGATGTTTCTCGTGATCAGGCGTGACATTTTTCAATGTTACCCGCGGTCGCAAGCGTTTTGGAACTGGACCTAATCGCTGTACAGGGATCAAAAGTCTTGAGCGTTCACGTGACTCACAAAGCCCCTCGGTTAACACTATACCTAATTGAATGATAGCCTGCTTGGCAGGCATCAATTCCTGTGCGGGGTTCGAAACTGCATAGAGACGACACCACCAACAAGAACAGGGACGTTGATATTTGAAGCATTCTCCCTTCCGTCCTGACACCAAGAATGGAACAGGGAAAGGGCCAAAAGATTCGACGAGAGATGCATCATCTCAAGGCCACCCAGTCTGGTCCATCAACTGGTTCAGTAGATGCCATACCACCGTGACACCGAGAGGCGATTGTTCCTTCATTGCAGCCCAGCTTCTCACAAATTCGTCCTTTGCAACCAGATTCAAGGTGAACATGATTAAGACACGATGTCGGCGGCCATGGCCCTCCATCTATCCCTCCCCAACCTTCTTTTCAGAAACTGCGCAGGCGGCCGACCCCCCAAACCAAAATGAAAGTCGACGACATCCTCAATCCTGTCACCCCGGCCAACCTAAAATTGGGCCACAGAACGCCAGTAGCAGGTCGATTCGATCAGGCTGAAAGTAATGCCCACACGTATAACTCCGGGATGAGAGACCAGACGAAAAACCTAGGACTTCGGCCACAGGATGAACCTAGACTGGATCGGCCACCCTGCTACTGCCGAGTCGAGGACCTTGACAAGCAGAATATTGGCTACCCGATGTCGAGATATCCACACAATAGCATTACTGAAACCACGGAAGTTTCCTCCACTAGTTACCCAGTGCCAAATGCCTCGAGATCTATGGTACACTCTGTAATGCCAACGTCAGACAAGGTCGCTCACCCGCCGACCATGCGAGCGGACCCATCACTCCGCAACGAACTCGCCCCCTCCCCAAAGCAGGATAAGGCAGGACGCACGGTACACACTTTCCTGGATGAGGAGGGACATCACAAACAATACTATATCGCGTGTCATGCTCCATCATGTCCGTACCTTGGATTCAGAACGATAGCGGAGATCTTGAGTCACTTCGCAAGGGTCCATCGTGAATTATTCGTTGATCATGTCGAGAGGCTCGATGCCGGAGGTTTCGTCCTTGCCATTCCAGAAGCTCGGGTTCAAGGTCATGAGCAGGAATATGGACTGGGTTCTGCTGGTATTCTGACCCTGCGGTGTCTGTCTGATGAATGTCAAGAGCGGAAATACTTCTCTGTTGGACCTCTTCGAAGTCACCTAACCAGAGTGCATCGAAAAATCCTCGGCCTGCCTGCTGGAACGCAAGCCAAATGGATGGCTTGGCAGCCTCAACTAAATATCCATCAAGAAATCGACCTGCCTCAAGCTCTTGGGGCCGGTTCCACTGCTTCATTATCGGTGAAGACAGTCAACCAAGCGGCGCTTCTTGATGGTGACTCCCATGGACTGCATCCTGGCGCAATGCTGGCAAGCGTCACGAAGACGCAGAAAAGGAAATGGGAGCTAATCATCGAAATCAGCAGCGACGAGGACAATGCCGGTGGCGATAGAATTCCCTTGAGTCACCACCAGCAGCCGCTTAAACCCCGAAAAAAGGAGACAACGATTTCTTAATAGTCGAGCAGGCCTAGCGTGGCAGGAGGCCCAACAATGCAGGATCGCGTCAAGAAAAAGATAGAACATCCCTCTCGACTGACTCAGAATTCAGTCGGCGTCGCTGTCCTAATTGTTTGGCACAGTTTTTTACTGACTGACATTGCACGCTGAGCACTCCTTTCGGCGAGCTGGCGTGCGGCAACAGGGCTCCTACGCTAGGAATTTATGATTTCATACCTTATTCTGGCTCCTTTATCACTGTCCGCTACCGCATTATCCACTTCTTTCTTCTACTTGATATACTATTCAGCGCCTGAGGGCCTTCGTTGGCTCTTTTGTACTGTGCTTCCTATTTGACAGTTCTGAAATCGACCCAGTATATTGAAGTCAAGGACAGCTCGATTACTGGGCAGAGGCATTTATTATTTCATATCTAATCCTATGTTTCAGTCCAAGGCACGGGTTGCGTGTTCCAAAGACTGGTATGACAAACATACGAAAGTCCAAGATCAAACACTCTGTATAGTGAAACGACTTTCCGATACCCTTGAATGCAATACACCCACTGTTTGAGATCCCTATCCAGCAGCTGTGATAAACAGTATTATTGATATCTTTTCCCGATGTTTGGATATGCGTAGTAACGAAGAGCTTCTGGGCCGTCGCCAAAATTGCCCAGGTTCTTCATACCCTTAGGCTGTATCATCCACCAGAGAGCCGACCGTCCATTCTTTTCGCAATCCGTACATTGCGAATCTGCCACGAAGGTAGACTTACCTGGTGCTAGACGCACCAACTCGACTGATCTTTATGGCGCATCCGCTCTGAAGTAACCTCCACCTTGAGACGTGTTTGACGACATCGCCCCGAGCCCTGCACGCTTTGAGATTGCCCGAAGCGGTCTGAACGTCTCTCTATTGAAGATCCGTCCATTCATTCCGTGTGTGGGTAGTTGAAGTCGATATGCTTCGGTCCAGGTGTTGCAAAGCGGGGCACAGGCGCCGCGAGAAGTGGCTACAATTGACCTTACCTGCAGCTGGTCGCGCTTGGCCTCACGCCTGGCCCCTCAAGTAGGAGAGAACGTTAACCTCTCTGAGAAATCAACCCGACTAAATGACTACAGGAAAAGGGCACCTTACCAATAAAGACGAGCAGGAAAACACCGCAGCTCACCAGAAAAAGAGTCGAAAAATATAGCAACCGTCAAGATTTTCCATGTTATGATCATCAGTTGTTGTATCGTCAATTGACCTGACCTTGCAAACCAACCATCCCAATGTGGCTAGGAACATTGTCCCACCTCCGCAAAGAGAAGAAGTGAAGCGAGACCAACCGTAAAATACGCAACCATTGCAGCCGATAAGCAATGCTTATTCGTTTCCTCCACCTCCTCAAGCGTCTCAAGATTCCATATCCGTCAGTCTAAACCTGAGGTGCTCTTCGTAGAATCTCAGCATTGACCGGGGACAGTGTCGATGGACCTTATCCATACAAACACATGTCTGCTCACCATTCTCGAAGAGTACAGAGGCGAGCAGCTTCCCGGATTCATCTCTCTCCACTGCTTCCACTTTGACTACTTGCGGCTCCCAGTCTTCCTTCACTGGCATCCACGCCGCTTCTTCCCGCCGGGTGGATGAAGCAGGAGCCAGGTTCTTCGTTTTCTGTCATTTCACCGCCCGAGCCTGGTACCCCTTTGCCTCGGATCTGAAACGCTTTAATTGTTTCGACTATGACTTTTTTTCGAGTGTATTCTCGCCAAATCCACCGATACTGGTGTGATATGCTTGTATGATTTTGGGAGCGTACCTGGGAGAATAGTCAATTTGGGAATGTGTTTGAGGAGAAAGTCTCTTACAGCATCAGGCTTGACTCTAGCTCTTCTGTGTTTTCCTTATCTGGACATCCTTGCCATTTGGTCTCATAGTAGACTGTACCACGGACAAATCGGTGACCAAGGATTGCTTCAACGCCGAACTCTCCTTCTGAATCTTGACCATCATCTTCGGAATCTTCATGAGCATCGTCGTCTGTGGTTCGTCCACGCGCAACTTCCCCAGCGACCATTTCAACATCATTGTCTAGTTCCTCGTTCGTTGGGAGGTTACCATCCGGACCGGCTTGGGGAAGGTTACTATCAACACAAATATCGAGATTACTTCCAACCTTTGAAATAGATGTGACTGTTAGATAGTCAACGTTTGTTTGGCGACTGTGTGATACGGGACAACTTTGCAATTGGACTATGGAGGCGACACTTACCAGCGCGTCTAGTCATTTCGGAACAGTATATGAGAGACTAATGAGGGAAGAAGCCGTAGTCGCAAGAACGGAAGAAGTGCTCCCTCAATATCGAGGTAGCTTAGAAGTGGACGCTCTTCCCACATATTGCACATACAGTACGCATCAGGAAAACAGCACAAAGCAATATACGGCGTGATTCCTCCTCTGTGACCATCCTGATGCGTCTCCATCGCGGATGTGCCGGACTCCAGCACCACGAGAAGGTGTGAATCTTATCGTTCAACAGGGTCGACTGCCTTCAGTGGTCCGTTGCACTGATTATCATGGCTATGGTCACCCAAGTCGTCCGTGAAGCCGGAACATGAGGTGCTCATCTGCGTGATTACGAGGTTGGACAGGTGTGCAAGGAACATGGTACTGCTAACCACCAAAATTGGGGAGATGCAGGCAGCAATACGCAAGAGAAGGTCAGAGCGGGCAGTCGAAATCCAGGGTGTCGACCACAGAAAACCGTGGTGCCTCCTATGACTATCAGGGTCAATGCGATCTCCCACTGACTTCCAGTTTTCTCTCATCGAGCAGCCGCGATTGTGTAGCCGAGGAGTTACGGGACTGCTTCTTATGCTAGCCGTCCAATCGCCTGAGTTCAGCTCTCGTGCCACATTTTAGGGCCACGTATGCCATCCTTCGCACTGCCTTGTCCTTGATCCCGCAATGGTCCGCTGCAGCAGACCTCACGCTGTGGACAGTTGGGCATGGGTAAAGCACGTTGAAAAGCGGAGTTGACAAGCTACGGGCAAGCGTAAGCATTCAAATGGCAACTTGGAAGAGTGGCTGAATGATCGACCGGGGATTCCGTCTAGAAAGAGGCGCCAGTCAGCCTTCTTGGCGACTTCAGGAGGTACACTTTTAGCGTCGTCGTCACGGAAGGTGAAGCGAGACATGCAAAACCACTGGGGTTGATGAATGGTGGCGATGAGTCAGCCCAAAGGCGGATACCTTGGGTCCCGGTAATATTGATTTTCCCTGTTTTTCTCTTTCCGTCTCTCACATACATACGCTACGCACACGTTAGGATACTTGAGGATGGAGGACCACATTCTCTTACCAATTCACATTTACAAGCGCGCAATGGACCACAAGATTTGGCTACCCTTATGTAGCCATCAACACACGTCCAGCACGAATGCTGATCCGTTTGTCGGTGAACAATTCCGAGTTCACTAACAACAAGGTGGTAAGCTGCGACATGATACGAACACACTACAGCAGCCAAGATGACATATCTTGGTACTGTAGTCACTTGTGGAAACCCAACAAGCTCAGACAGCCTGTTACAGTACCTTCGGCGCGGTCTACTTCTTTTCCTTCCTTTGACCTGTGTCTTGGAGCTTAAGGCGGAGCATGATCTTACCTTGGCGGTTACAAGGGTGAGTCGAGAGACAGCGAGGATCTTCTACTTGGTCCCCAGCTTGCTCCTCTAGAGCTGAAGGTTTGAACGTTTGCGGACATGACTCCCCACTACTACGATGCTGATCTCGTTCATCATCAATCAACGTTACTCCGTTGAATTCGTTAAGTGTGTCTTTCGCTGATGTGGAAGGCGAAGGTGGGGACGAGTGGAGATATTGATCGAATAGCATATCGATATCTGGCTCGTCATCGACATATTCTGGTGGCAGCCTCAAGTTGGGGATTCCTTCAGTGGCCGTTGTCTCAACGCTGTACGCTCTAGACACGCAACTGGGCAAGAGTGGGGGCGAGCGTGCACGGAGAAACTGAGAAAACAGGCGGTCATCTCGGGTATATGAGGTTGAGGCGCGATCTGCAGACCAGTCATTTTCCAGTTGCAAACCCGGTTGACGAATACTGTCATTCGAGTACCACGCGGACTCTGCATCGCCCAGATCGGCCATCATCGGATCCGCTGCCGCAGGAAGAACCCAAGACTTTGAGTGATCTTCAGGAAGGTGGCTAGTCTGGTCGACATTTGATAGCAGTGGAGGAGAAATAGTTGGACTCATGAAGCGAACCTTCCTTGGGAGTCGCACAGGTGACACATGGACGTTACTGATAGATGAGGAGACACACTCAACGGGTACCTTTTCGGAAATATTGTCTTTGCCAGGAGACTTCCGCTTATGAGTTCGCAGGGCTCGCTTCGTTGGAGCATTTGGTGACCGGTCGATATCGCGGCGTTTGGGACGCTTTGTCGTCATCGGTTGCTGTGGCGGTTTGGGAGTTTGTGGAACGCGACGAGGTCTCCCCCTGGGTCGCTTCATAGCGTGCTGGTCTTTCGGCTGAGGCCTCGGTGTTCTTGGACAGGCTGACTGCGGACCCAGTTCCCCGCCCTTTGTCGGGGAATCAATCTCCTTCCAAGCCCACCAATCAACGGGCAAGGGTGGGATCTCAATGGTAATTTTGGGATGCTTCCTCACACCGTTCACTGGTGGGCGGACATCATCCGGTGCCTCAATGTCATTGTACTCGGTGCTCTTGCCGGCAGAGCTAGCAGTGGAGTCTGAAACACGTCGCTTTTTGCTATTCGCCTTTGGTGGTAATTGAGGGAGGATGACTTCCAGATATGGATGGCTCTGATTTTTCTCACTCCCACGAGCTTCCTGTCCAGGAGCGCCTGGGGGCACATCAACAACCACAGTCGACTGCTCAGGTTTCCACAGCGGGCCTATGTCTCTGCGAACCAACTCACTTTGGCAGATGGCATGTTGGAGAGGAGGAATATCAACGTCTGCGGCTTTCTCGGCGAGTGCGATGGGAGTATCCACTTCTTGTTTCCCATCGTGACTGTAAACTGTGGCGCTCCCGCACTTATCTTCCTTGTCCGCACCGTTGAGTGTGAGCAGAGATTTTTGGGTGTTCCGACCCTGAGTCTGCGGCTTCATGTCAAGCGGTGTGTAAGTCACAAAGACTTCTTCCTTCTGCTGGATTGTTCGCAACCTGTCCGAAAGCCGTCCAGGCGCCTGTAGCTTCCGACGGTGCCCTTCCGACCTTAAGGATTGCGCCACTTTCTCTCTCTCCGCGGCACTAAGTAGTACTTGATGGACATCAGCGAGATGATGAAAGTGTTGATCCAAATCGCCAAGTTCATCATGCTTTCCACAGCGCGGATGGCGACAGCCCCGAGGACTGGGTCCACCAAGCCCAAGATGAAGAAGGACGTGCGCCTTCCATTCGGTCGCATTGATGTACTGGTGGAATCGGTCTTCTGGTGGGCTTTCGTCGTCACCCAGACATTCAGGGCAAAAGCCTGGCCGACTGAGACTGTGGCGGAATTGAGCGATATTACACTTCAGAGGTAGTGGGCCCAAGCTTCCATTGGGTGCTAGGTGTTGATTAGCGTGATCTTTCCAGGAGGTCGAGCCGCTGAGCCACTGAAAGCACAGGAAGCAGAATTCTTCAAAACGGCCGTCTGTGTTTGCACGATTCTTGCGGCACCGGTAGACATGCATCCACCAGGTCGCTGGCTTGTGCCTGTGATCTACATTAGCAACTTGAGGGAAATTTAAACAAGGGTGGCCAGCTGCATACCCGATTCGTGGTCGCCGACAGTTGTCACATTCAACGCAGGAGCTGTTCAGACCTTGGCAGTACGTCTGTGACCTGCTGCTTTGCATGAGTCGCACTAGGTCGTCCATAATGACCGTCCCCACTTCGTCACGGAGACTCCCTTCTTTGAAGAGATTCTCTGACAGACGATCACGCTCAGGCATGAGCTTCCTCGTCTGCAAAAAGTCCGACTCGTACGGGACGTTCTCTGACGTCCACACATCTTCTTGGGGAGACATTTGGTGGCCCCGCATGAATCGATCTCGAGCCTGGCGACGTTGGTCGTACAACTTTTGCTGTCCCTTGATGTCGTCCACGTTGGTCGTTGGGATCGTCTTTTGGTTACACTGGGAGGACTCTATCAACTGCCACCTTAGGTGTTCTGGGAGCGTTGGTCGGTAATTGTAGTCTCGACGCAATGTACCCGCGGAACAATTCGTGGATCTGCAAGTTCTGGCGGTCGAGCTCGAAAAAGGTGGCTTGGCCATCGACGGTACTGATGCGAGGCTGATAAGCCGACGCATATGTGCCCTGGTCACGGTGGGCGGCAAATCGCATCCGTTCATTGATGGAGTACCCATAATCTAAAGCATCGTTCTTAGCATTTCCGCCATACACCAGGGTTTTCTCCGTCCTTACTGTCCACTTTTAAAAGTGCTTCTCGGCGGGCAGCGTGAAATGTGAGGCTTTCCTGGAAGCCTGTCCGACGACCTAGCTCTGGCAATGCGTGGCTGGCGAGGGAGGACGACGTCCACGTGTCGTCCACGGAGCCGTCCAGCAGACATCGGGGGAAAACTGGCATGTCGAGACAGTGATCTTCATAGTGTAGAAGTCGATGGCTTCGACCAGGCGGCTGTCTCATTGTGAGAATTTCAGTCCAAGACTTGTACGACCGAAGTGCTTGCGCAGCAAGAACTCGCGCGATGAAGAAGAGCACAGCATTGTAATAGAAAGGTTGGCCGACCAGTTCGTAGAGCAAATGCTCCGGCCTAGGATGTCAGCATAGAGTCTTATGCGACTCGTTGATCACTTAACTTACTGTTCGCGAGGGAGGTTCTGAAGTCCTTTCGCTTTATCCCTTCGTAAATCGAGCACGATCTGGGGCTGATCCGTGATCCACACTTGGGCGATTGTGATATCCTGCACCGGTTCAGTAGTGCCGCGTCGTCCACAGACTACCAAAGCGATCACTTACACGGAAACGGAGGTTCTGTTCAAATTCACCTGCTCGACCGGACGTTCCACAATGTAGAAGTTGAAGGAAATGTAGCCCTGACCGATACAGCTCATGGCAGTAGTCATACCAATCGTTCTGCCACAGCTGGCGGGATGCCGCTTCAAAGTCTCTAAGAGTGTAGTTCTTCACCGGTCTCCGATCTGTGGATAGACCAAGGATGTTATCGTCGCCTCCACGAATCAACTGTCGTGCACATCAGTGTCAGCGATCATGCGGACGGAATGCGTTTCTCACGTTAAGAATGGTGTCCCTCAGAGGTTTGTGGAAATTTTCGCCGGTCTTCCTCTGCCAGGCGGTCATGAAACACTTCCAGATGGTCTCTGCACTGGAGTCCGTCACCGCATCGCCATGCCCGATTCGACCTTTTCTCCCCGTCTTGTAGAAGAGGAGGAAGCTTTTGGCTGTCTTCGCCTCCATAGGGTCGGGCTTGCAACCTGGAAACTGCTTGGTATACTTCAGGACAAACCTTCTCGCGGTTAGAATGTTTTTGTGGCATATCGATCAGACATACAGATCCCATTCGTGTAGCACGTAGTCGTACAGCCTTTGAGTTTTAGGCCGAACGGGTTTCAGCGTGAGAGAATCATTAGTCTGGTGAAGGAGGTCTTCAAAGCAGTTAAACTCCCGCAACCTTTCCCGTTCCAGATCGCCTGGTCTCTGGACCACGTCCATAACACAAGGTCGCAAGTCGAGAAACAGAACTCGAGCTGTTTTGTTGTGCGATTAGGACCATTCACCTTCACACGATGCAGAGGCCCAGCAGAGGGACATCCTTTCCACTGGACTTTACATCCAAAGGTCGCCCCCTCCCTTTAATACCTGGCAAACTGACAGTCTCACATGCCAGCCGCCGATTGAGGGAATATTTCTGCTTAGGCACACTCCCAAGGTCGTAGAATCCTCGACTCGTCGACGTTCATTCGACACCCAGGTGGATTGGCTCCAGTGGAGGCAGCCAACACGGTCGAGGGTAAAACCTCGACACAGGGTGAGCTGGCCTACCAGACGGGTGAGCTTATAGAAGTGGGCAGGGTGAGCTGGAGGTGAGCTGGAGGTGAGCAGGGTGTGATTGGGGTGAGCCAAAGGGCGAGTCACACCCGCCCAAAGGGGAAATCACACCTCGAAGAATCTGGGCCATATTACTCTATTATTCGAGAATCTAGTAAATCTAGTTAATACGTAGTTCGCGTTTACTCTACCTTTATCGAGTTTAATATTATATATTAATCTACTAAACTTAAGCGCGAAAGATCTAATAATACGAGACTCGACCTAATCTAAGATAAAGATAAAGACTTAATCTAATTCTTATAGTTCGTATTTATTATTCGCGAGACCTATAATTAATAGTATACTAATAAGTTTTTATTAATCTTAGATACTCGAGTTACTAAATAATCTTTTACTTTATTATTAGGAACTCGAATATTATAAGTTATAAGTAAATACTAGTCTAAAGACGAGATTAATATAAAGAAGTTAATTATTAATAATAAGCTTACTACTAAGCTTACTACTAATAATAAGCCTACTACTAAGTCTACTATTAATAGTAAGCCTACTACTAAGTCTACTATTAATAATAAGCCTACTACTAAGTCTACTATTAATAATAAGCCTAATATTAAGCCTATCGCTAATAATAAACCTACTATTAATAATAAGTCTACTATTAAGAATAAGCTTATAGCGAATATTAATCTTATAGAGATTAAAGAGCTCGTAAGTTAGGTCGATAAAGCTATAGAAAATATTAGATTTAAAGAATATCGCGAGTATTATCGACGATTTTATAATAATATTAAATTCGATAAAGATAAAGCTATAAAGTTTAAAGCTTATTTGGAAGAGCTTCGTACCTATATTCTTAAAAATACTATTATCGTTATAACTACTTCTACTCTTACGATATTAGCTAAGATATTAATATCTCTTAAATCTTATATTTAGATTATTATAGTAAATAAAGCTATACGTATTATCGAATGTAATATACTTATATTATTCGATAAGTATACTTTTATAGAAGGCCGAATTCTAGTCAATAATCTAAAGTAGTTATCTCCTATCATTATATATTCTAATACTACTTTCGCTAGATAATATAAGATGTCCTTAATAACTTACTTTATAGGAAATAGAATATCTATAGTAATATTAATTAAGTAGTATTAAGCTAGACCTACTATTATTAATATTCTTAATGATTTCGTATACGAGAATCGTCTAACTAATTACTCCTCTATTATAAATCGATCTAGAATTACCTAGATTAAAGAATTTAATAAGAAGATATTTTAGTATACTTGTTACGCCTTAATTTTTAACGCTCTAAATATATTAACTAACGTCGTAGAAACTACTAGCTTATAATATAATATATAAAGTGCCTATATTTATCTTAACTTAGTATAGACTTATATAAATAGTATTTTTAACTAAAGTATCGCTATTATTACTTTCTATAACGCTTAATATCTACTACTTCTCGCTTTTAAGGATAAGATAGTAAAGAAGTATCCTATTATAAACGTTAATTTAGATAACCCCTAAACTAAATAAATAAGCTAAGACTCGAGAACCTAGTTCGAGTAGAAGGCTTATTATACGCTCACCGTATGAGAGGAGCTTCCCTCCTCTCTATACTTTAAGTCTTAGTTAAGACGTATATTAAGAAATAATCTATAATCCACTAAACTACTCTAATCGTCGTACTCTATCTATTTATATAGGTTCGTTCCTAATATTCTCAAAGTATCTACTTTAAGTCGATCGAAGTAGACGATTATCGTATATATTATAGGCGATATAATAGTTCTAAAGAGAGCCGCGAGAGAAATAACTACTAGATCGTCTCGAGCCTAAATACTACCTCTTAAGTAACTTATATCTCTATTCTTAATAGAATCGCTTCTAAGTCGTATACGAATCCTATTGTACGATAAGAACGAGAAAGAAGATAAAGATAAAGAGGAAGATAGGAGAACATAGTTAGACCTTACGAAAGTCGCGCGCGAATCGTATAAGCTTCCAATAATAGAATAATAGATTTAAGATCTAGAGAGATAATATACTATACTAAATATATAACTAAAGTTAATACGCCTATAGTATAAGGTAAAAGTAATATAGTAGGAGATAGCTAGGAGAGATCTAAATATCTTTATATCTATTATAGGTATATCGCTATTAACTTATAAGCGATCCCTAAGTAATTCGTTCGAGAAAGATCGAGAAGAGCTTTAGAAGATATTTCGTATCGTAAAATCTATTAAATTTATAAGTAAATTAATATAATAAATATATAACTTTAATAATACTTAGTAAATAATTTTCAAGTTAATTTTCTATATAATTAAATCTAATTAGTTATAATATATACGAATTATAGTGAACTATCTCGAGAGTCGCGCTTAAGATAAGTAGCGTCGCGATAGAAGAGAAGGTATACTAACTCTCGCTATATAGAAAGAGTTTATCTTATAATATAAGAATACTATTAAAGATTTTAATATTCGAAAAGAATACGCGTTAATAAAATATATAATACTTATAGGAATCGTAGATTAGTCGTTACGAGATTTAGTGTATTAACTAAAGTTACTAGAGTAAGAGATTAGTATTCTTACTAAAGATAAATAAAAGAGATGAATCCTATTTTATAAGCTATCGACTCGCCTATATAATATTATATAATAAGATCTTTAGATAATTACGTCTTAAGTATAAGTTTTAGCTTCTACTACTCGCCTTTACTCGATAGTCTTTAGTAATATCTAAAAAGAAATATTAATAACTTATAATTAGTTTATACGCGAGATATATAAGATTTACTCTCTATTAGCGTAATCTAACTTATTAAATAAGGGTAAAGGGCTCGCTTAAAAATTATATATATATATCGTAAGAGAGACGTATATAAAAGATACCTAAGACGATTTCTCGCCGACTAAGAGAGCTCGATAGGGCGAGTTATATTTATTTAAAGGAGACTATTTTCGCTACGAAAAAAAGGGTTATAGGGAAAAAGACTATACTAATAGTAAACTCTCTATCTTTATCGATATATAGGTAAATTGTATAAGTATCGAAGATAAGAAGCCTTAAGAGAGTAAGTTAAAAAACTAGTATCTAGCCTATTAAGTGCTATAGTAGCGCTAGGCCTTAATTATAAGCTACTTCTATAGATAAAAGTAGGGCGAAAGTAGCTAAATAAATAAGTACTAGTGATGGAAACGAAAATCTTATCGCTATAAGGATCGCGAAAGATACGTACGCTTCTCGATAGTAGGGCGTAGACAAGCTTTATTTTCTACTTACTAGCTATCGAGCTCGAACTATTACGCGAGATGAATATAGTATAAGTGTGTACTATAGGCGAATAAGCTCTAGAGACCTATAGGAAATATTAGGTCGATATTTCTATATATAATAAGTAAGGAGAGACTAGAACTCGAAGATATTAATTTATTACTATAAGAATTGTGAAATATAATATAGTCCTAGGTTTCGATTAGCTAGAAGAGGTGAATTCTAATATAGACTAGATTATAGGCGCGTAGCGCTATCGTAATGTACGCGAATCGTAGGTATTAGTAGTTAGTCTTGAATAATTAAAAGGAGACACTAATAGTAGTATTATTAGAATGTTGTAGCTTCTCTCTAGCGCTATAATTATAACTAGAAGCGGGCCTATAGCGCTTATATCCCTTATAAAAGATGTACGCTTATCGCCGCAATTCGAGAAATTTGCCTTAGTCTTTAAAGATTCTAAAGATAAGCCTTTCCCAATAGAGATAAAGATAAAATATACTATTAAGCTACTAGAGGGAGAAATAGCTCTCTACGAACCTATATACTCTTTAAGTGCGAAAGAGCTACGGGTCCTACGCGAATATCTAGATATTATATTGGAGAAAGGATAGATCCTTTTAAGCGAATTAGCTATAGGAGTACTAATCTTATTTATACCTAAGTCGAATAGTAGTATACGACTTTATATTAACTATTGTATATTAAATAAGGTTATAGTGAAAAATTAATATCTACTATCGCTTATTCTAGAGATTCTAGATAGGTTGGTTAACGCGAAAGTCTTTATAAAACTAGATCTATAGGATGCCTATTATAGAATTCAAATCGTAAAGGAAGATCGCTAGAAGACTACGTTTCGTACGCGATATGGCTACTTTAAGTATACGATTATACTATTTAGGTTAACTAACGCTTCGGCAATATTTTAGATATATATTAATAAGGCCTTAAGAGGACTATTAGATAATATATATATTGCCTTTATAGACGATATCCTAATCTTTAGTATAGATAAGAACTTATATAATATATATATAAGCCTCGTACTAGAAAGACTTAAGAAATACAATCTATATACGAAACTCTCGAAATACGAGTTTTTT